ATATATTAAGAAATTTATATTTTACTCAGCAAGAACACATGAAATTGATCAAAAGTGACGATGTTACAAAAGATTTCTAATAAATGCTGTTCTTTTCAACTTTCTATTGATCAAAGAATAAGTATCCACAAAAATATTAAGCAGCACAACTGTTTTCAACATTGATAATAATAAGAAATGCTTCTTGAGCAGCAAATCAGCTTATTAGAATGATTTTTAAAGAATCATGTGAGATTGAAGACTGAATTAATGACTGCTGGAAATTCAGCATTGCATCAAAAGAATAAATTACATTTAAAAAATAAATTAGAATAGAACAGTTATTTGAAATTGTAATAGTATTTCACAACATTAATGTTTCTACTGTATTTTTGATCAAATAAATGCAACCTTGGTGAGCATAAGAGACTTCTTTCAAAACATTAAAAAAAAAAAAAAAATCTTACTGACCCCAAACTTTTGAACGGTAATGCATGACACGTCACTTGCCTAGTACTGTTCTGTATAATATTCATTATTAAATACATTAAAAAAAAACATGCAGGTGAATGTGTTAAAAAGCGAAATAACATTGTCATCCAACCACATGCTGCGCTGTGCATTAAGCAGGTCTGATCGAAGGACAGGGCAGGGAGAAATGCAGGCTTTCATGCTGTGCTGAGCACGCTGTGAGCTGAGATTTCAAGTGAGCGTGAACACGCATGTAAAGATTGGAGCTGGAGAAACCCCCAACATCACTGACTGCAGTCACCACAGGTATAAACCAGATGGAGGACAGAATGCGTATTATGTACAAAGCGAGGTAATGATGTCACACTGTATTGACCTTTATATTACTTACTCTGTCTTATTTACTAAACCCCCTCATAAACCCCCATAATGTTAACAGAAAACTCAGAAACATGTTAAGTAGATCACAAAGGTTAAAATTCTGTCATAATTCACACACACTAGTTGTCATCCAAAATAAGTGATTATTTAGAGGAACCAATATGATGGTTTGATTCAATAAGTTTACTGAAAACTAAAATGGGAATAGATCCATTAGAGTCATGCTAGAAAAAAAACTTTTTGCAATTAAATAATGTAATAACAGTATAAAATACTCAAATAAAAAAAAAACATATATATATATATATATACACGTTCATAAAGTATTTATTCATATATTTAAGTATATATAGAAATAAATATTTCGTTTAGCAGTATTTTTATTTAACACTGTGGTTTTAAATAAATGATGACAGACAGCATTAACTAATTCTCCGCCTGCCTATGGACGTGCTTCCCCTGTCTTATCTGAGTGCTACGGCTTTCCTTGCTTTCACAGTCATTTTATGTGTGTACTGTAATCTTTATTCCATATAATTGCTGGATTCTGTAAAGGTGAGTGCCGTGCTTTCTCTCGCTTTGCCAGGAATGGGATTTATGTTCTAAATTAAACCCTGGGGCTAAACTGTTACTGCTATTAGCTTTAATAGCTAAACATGACTTACATTTATTGGCTTTGACTGGTAGCTTAGCAGCACCCATGCTAATTAAACCCACCGGCCTGTGATTACACAGTGTTTCTGAGACACAGGTGACTCATCTGTCCCGCTCCGGCTCCCAGCGTTGGGGTTTTAATTGATGTCACCCTGCGCATTCCTTTGGCGGGATAACAAAGTGTTTTTGCTGAGCAGGGACAGCCATAGAAATTTAAATATTCTCTAACACAAAGCTACACACCAATGGCATCAGTATTGACCCCTGAAAAACCCACAATGCATCGACTGTGTCCAAGTTGCCACAGCAACAAGCATACAAGAGACATTTGGACAGACCTTCATATCAGGTAAGCACGCCTGTATTTAATAGATCTCTCAAAACGCTCTAAACACATACTGAAAGCAATATTAAGGTCCTAATGCAGCAGCAAAGTAGAAGATGAGTTTTTGTTTCCAATGTCAACACAAAAAATAAAACTAAAGGATGTGGGGGTTTTTTTGGCTGGTAAAAGCAAAAACATAAGAGAAAAAAAGACTTGGAAAAGTAGAAAGCTAATAAGACGTAGCAAATCACAATTTTTGGTCTAAACGCACTTCAGAGATCTTGAAGTCAACAGAAATGGAGTTCCCAACACATTCACTTCCACAATGTGACATTTCAGAGAAATGACAAGAACACTGATGTTTTTTACATTTACATAATGTACACTCATGAATGGATTTAGATTTAGCCTTTGTACTGTGAATCCAAAGTTTGCAGCCTCAAAATGAGCACAGGTTAGGCTCGAGTCCAAACCCACATCTAAGTGATCGCTGGTGTAAAGTAAGAGGACTACAGACATTTTCCATTTTTTTGGCTGCCAAATGAAATGAGGCAAAAGAAGTAGGACAGAAGGAGCCAAATCTCAAAGATCCACAACACCTGGCCTGACACAAGCCATGTTGCCACAGTGATTAGGACAGTACCACAGAAGGGCTGCACAACGCGTGACTTCCCTGCCTCTTTCATCGGGACAAGACTGTTACTCCACAGAGTAGTCCCTCCATGACTAGAGGGTTCATTTTAAATCTGATTTCTAAACAGCCAGTCACATTAAACTTTTCATTCCAATGACTTCCATTTATACATAATGCAATGCAGGAGACGGGAAACAAAAGCTCAGGCGAATTTGGCTGCGTTCCAAAGTTCAAGTTGGTGAGCTCGGTCCTGCAAACTCGTATCATCAAAACCCTAAATTACGCTTCATACACAGATGTTGTATGAGTTTACACCTGTATTAACATCTGTCAGGTGATCACAAGGGGTACAGATGTAAATACAGTCCAAACTTTTCATTTCTGTTAATAAAGGTACTTCTCACATTTATGAGACTAAAATGTGATTTAGTCTATTTATTCAGTGATTTAGATTTAGTCTTTTTGTGACTACAAAATTAAATATGTAGTACATATAGTACATATTTATATAAAGTGTTTTAATCATATTTTATGTCATTTTATTTATAGGTAGGACTGATTTCTTTGTACTTAAACATGCAGTACATGAGTGGATACACATGGAAGGGTTTTTACCCTTGAAAAAGTAAGGAAGGACAACAACTCTCAGCATGCTGGGATACACATGTACATTTGGAATGAGGAAAAAATGAAGGTGTATTTCCCAATACATCAGAATAAACGGGTTTTAGAAGCAACACATGTCTAGGACAAAATATGCCATACACACCTGAGCTCTTAAAGTGGTCCGGGCTTGGGTGGTGCTGGGAGGGTGAGTTGCAGGTAGAGGTGACGTGCTCGCTTTGCAGCATCTGACCCATATGGGGCCCCAGGGTGGCAAAGTCGGCAAAGGAGCAGGGAGTGCCCCGCTGGTCACCGGGCCCAGAATAAAAGCCGTAATCGGGGAACCCTGGGAAATACGCAGAGTAGGGGGGATGCCGTCATTGAGAAGAGAGGTGTTTATATGATACACAAAGATGAAGTGACTGAGGCAGTGAGGTATGCGTGACAGGAGACAACACGAGGCTGAATGATGCCCACGTACACACACTCGTACTCAGTTTGTAACATGATTCCCACTAAACCAAACCGACTATCACAGAGATGCTAGCAAAGCTCTAAAGAGAAACCTATGAGTGAACAGGTCAGATATGGCAAATACAGTGATGAATAAAATGTGGTTCAACAGCGCTCCATTGATGTTTATTGGACATTAACATCAAAAAAGGATGTTAGACATCATTAACAGTCACAAACACACTTTTCATTGTGATGGCGGATAATGAACGCCTCAGAGGACGTCATTTGATGGCTCCAGCATCGCTGACATTTATAGCTGGTCTTTTCAATCCTATGTGCAGGTTTGATATACAAAGGGCATTAAAAGTCTTCATTGGCTTTTCAGAAACAGTAAGATGATCCAATCAAAGAAAGTCAAGATCCACCACACAGGTTTTTCATCTTGCGTCTGCCTTGCCGCACGTTTGCTTTTCATTGGGGTCTGGGACCTGCAGGAGCATCCTGGAGCTGTGCCGAACATCCCAGCGCTGATTATGCCCTCAACAGTTGCCAAGAGAAATCTGAAGCTATAAATAGTTTCTCTGTCATCAGCTTCGCAACTTTCCCTCACCGTCCGTGGTTTGTGGGCAAAACGCCTGCCTGTCAAATTATGCTCAAGTGCTTGAGGAATGGCACACCTCCAACACCGCCTGCTTACTGTAATACGTGACTTGAGGAATCACAGAAATGTACTGCTGTAATGATTCCAATTACATCTCTGTCTAAACTCAAGCTTCATGTGCATGATTCCATGGACACACTCTGCACAAAAATATGCAGATGTACATGACCATGATTTCTCTTAAACTGTTTAATTTAAAGCGTAAACATATTAAAGGAACAGTTTTGCCCAAAAATGAAAAATCATTTACTCCTCTTCACATCATTCCATACCTGCACAATTTTCTTTCCTCTAAGCAAAATTAAAGAAGATATTGTGAAAAATGTGTTTTTTGTTTTGTTTTTTGTCCAGACAATGAGGGTCATTGGGGTCTAATATTATTTATATCCACAATGATTTTCATTCTATGGATAAAGACATTCTTCACATTATCTTCTTTTGTCATACAGGTTTGAAACGACACAATGGTGAGTAAACGATGACAGAATGTTTATTTTGTATGAACTATTCCTTTAAACAAAGCTGGTGAGTGATGTGTTCAATGTTATAAACACCCACAAATCAAATTCTGCAGAAGTCTGGCGTTTCCTACAAAGTTCTGTGTGGGACACACTGGGGTTGTTTCAGGTCACTGCTAGGCTTCCTGGCTCTTTAGTGAAAAATTGACATTTCTGTTCAGAGTCTTTTGGATCTTTTTCTCCCCACCCTGCACTGTTACTCAGGACTAAACCAATTTTTCACGCTCGATCTCAACTACAAAAAAGACCACACCAGCAAAACAAAGGCCAGAGACACCCTTTTCTTTTCATAATCTATTTTTTCGACGTGCATTCTAATCGCCAGTCCTTGAATTTTAAAGTAGGTTTTCTGCTCCCCGCTAATTAGACAAGCTTCCGCTGCCTCTTCTGCACACTCTAATTAGATCTTTAACAACAAACAAGAGTCGACCTCTACACAGACTCCTCCATTTGTTAAATGGCTGAGCAGGGCGTGGGTTGGCGAACGTGCAACATCCCCCCCCCTCCCACGAAGTCTTCGTGGAACCGTGCCGCACACATTCCACAAGTCACAGATGCCAGGACACCACAATGGCGGCTTCCTGTTCCATCTGCCTAATTCTGCCGATTACAGGATACTGGGAGAGGCAGTACACAAAGCCGACATTCACACACGCAACGGATGTACAAAGCTGCTTTGTTTATGCTGACACGGACAATTAGCCCTCAGCTGCACAAGGTGCTCAGTCGGGAAGGTCTTATCTAATAAAGGCAGGGAAAATTACCTTTATTGTTCAGGTAGATTGCCTCTAATGATAGTGCCATCAGTGTAAAAGGATATGAATAAAATGAGGCTGAAAAGAGCTCTCCAGTTGGATGGCAAGACAGCAGAAGCAGCCATCTGGGAGTGAGCCGCTGCCTGATTATCTTCTTCTGCTCATTTTCCTTTCAGAGCATACAAATGATTTACTTTCACTTGAGCAAAGGTGAGAAACAGAGAGGGATCGGACAACGCTGCTCTGACATCAAAGTTAGAGAAATAATAGCTTTCCTCTGATCTTTCTAAAACAACACATGTTCTCTTGCAGCATGTTCGAGAGGCAGCGAGCGTCTCCTCGGGGGGGTTGCGGCGATGTGGGTGTCTGCTGCAGAAATGTGTTTAGTCCGTGTGGCACAATATGTGTGCAAATTAACAGTCTGCTAATGAACACCAGTCGAATGCTGTTTTAGTTGTATGGACATCTGCTGTAGCGCTTCATCAATAACACAATATTCCAGCACATCACCAGAGCTTGATAATTCAGCTGGCAGCATGCTAAAGCTGCAAATCTCTGTTACAGCAGTCTGGGCATATGGGTTAATGAGAACAGTAATACCACTGCATGAGCCAAAAATGTGCATTCCAGTTTTAAAAAGCAGAAAAAAAAACAAGGTGACTGACCTTGACTTTATGGTCTTTAGATAAATTAACAATTTTGTTAACAGTTAATATTGCAAATTTTCTTACTGCAGAAACCTTAATTTTGAAGAAAAATGAATTAAAATGAATAGAATGCCACCATGACTTTATTGAAGTAACCTGGGGTTAAGTGCTCACTGAATGGCTCGACTGAACCAGCAATCTTCTGGTCACCAGTCCTGACCACTATATTACAGTACTTCATGGACAGTACATCAAAGAGTCTGAGGCCTGACGGGGCACTTGCATTGAAATCCCATACTGATGTCAACATCTAACAGCAAAATTCCATGGCAACCATAAACAGGAGAACGAGCGAGTGTGGGAGAGTGTGTGTGTGTGGAGGTGAGGCTCTCAGGTGTGAACTGCTGAAGACTTCAGATCAGCTCCTAGTTGCAGTATCACTGTCGATCGGATCTTCAGCCCAATTATTAATATTCCAGCTATCAGCGTGAAACAAAAGACCCCTTCTTCCATTTGTTTCTCTTTTTTCACTCTCTCTGTAGTCTAATTGGATGTAATTACTCATCTGCAAAACAAATGAGTGGGTCGGCGTTGCCGTGGCGACCGGATCAGCGGGCCCAGCAGTGCGAATCGTTCGCCGAGCCTCATTTCTGAAGATAATTACCCCTCTTTCCTCTCTTTCACTCTCGCCATCTCTCTCCTGAATAACAGAAAGGACTCGTACGAAGTTACAACTCCAGTATTCGCTGTTCTACTTGTTTTCTTCCTCGGCCTCTTTGCATGTAGTCAGCAGAGGGGCGGCTCTCTGAGTGGATAACTGCTCCCCTCGCTTCCACTTTACCAGATCACAGAAGTGACCTCAAACTGCCTCTCTCGCTCACTAACACACACACGTCAAACAGTCTAAGAGCTTTCGATCACATTCACAATAAAACACAGGCCAGTGTCTCTCCTCTACCACTTACGCCGCTGAGCTGGTTAAGAGTGCATCAGTGAACAAGTGTGTGTGTGATTATCCATACTCACACACACACTACTCCCACTCAAATCCCTGGTGGCCATTCCAACAAGCCACTTCAGAACGGTTGTCAGTTAGCCCGTCATATTGGCCCCCAAATTAGCTTTGAATTTCAGAGCAGCTGTAATTAGCCTCTTCATTTCCACCTAAAGTCAATTTTGAAGGGGGGGGGGGCACCCGTGCCTGGATTTAGCTTTCACTTTCCATTTAAAATAGTCCTTTTTGACCGAACGACTGGCTAATTAACATCACTAGACCCCCTTTTCCGTAAGTGCCGACATTTAATAAATAATACATATTTAATGTCTTGTCATTTTGGTGCTCAGAAAGGCTTTGCTAATGAATTTTAAGACATGATTTATTCAGGCATTTTCTGGCATGCTCTCAGGTCTCTCTCAGCGCTTTTCTTTGGTTGAATGACAAAGTAACTTCACAAATCCAGGACAGTAGATCTAAATTAGTGACGGCTCAGTTACAAAGCTTTTGACACGAAGCGTTATGAATTGTAGATGCACACAGCAGGAAGACGCCCATTACGCACCTCATGTTTTTGTTTTCTTAAGTGACAAAGATACTGAAGTCTTCTTGCTGATCGAACTGAAAGTTGAGTTATCTAGAGCTCAGCTTCATCGGGCTATGTGTTTTCTGTTCTCTTAAAGTGTTCTAAAGTCATACATTTTAAACAATTAGAATGTTACATAATTTAAAAAATAAATATTACACTACACAGATAGAATATGATATACCAATAAACATTTTTAAATATTTATTTTAAATTTATTACATTTAAATACATATAAAAATTTAATATTCTTGAAACAATTTAAAAATAAATATTACAGATAAAAACAATATTTTTAATACATTTAAAATAATATTACATTTACATTTTAAAATAAATATTAAACAAAAGGAAAAACTAAAATTAAAATTTATGTATTAAATGACACAATTATACTTTTACATTGTATTAATTTAAATTATTAATACATTCATAGTCTAGACTCCAGACTTTTTAAATTGGTGACAAAATGCAGAAGGCTCTGGTACTACTGCCGTTTACCACTGTAGAATGTATCAAAAACATTAAAAGAGAAGTAAAAGAAAGCAAACTGAAAAATGAAAAAGTTAACTTGGGTATGATTCCTTCATACAAACCACACAAATGGACTCGAGCTCTAATGTGAAAACACAGTGGCTTCAGCTTTGCCGATCTCAGCAGAGGGACTCATTCTGGGACTGTTGATGGGGGGCTTTGCTGCTGTAAATTCAGGTGCATTTTTTATTAAAATTTCTAGGGGATTTACATCACATGCAGTCCAGCAGGAGCTAAAGCAATGGGCAACCAGGGCCTGTAGTTTAATCTCACCTCATATACACGAGCCAAAACAGCACTCCACAGAGATGCTTTTCAAGGCTCACAGAGCTTGGGATAAAATGGATAATGATCTCAGATAATGTGAGGTAGTTTGCCAAACAGGAGCATCTTCATGCTCGGGCAAGTGGGCAGGTGGCCCACTGTAGCAGAGCAGAACGTAACACAACATCTCATCTGCTCCCTCAAATACAACCTTGTAATACTACCATGCTTCTATCTGTTAATTAACACGAACGGACCTGAACCCATGCTGCATTTTGTTTCACAGTACCAATAGTTCTGTGGGGGAAAAAATGAAGACCAGCACATTTCGTAGGACTCTGGGGTTAAATGCAGCAACCGCTGGCCATTGAAAAAGCACTGACACAGGACTGCTTATTCAAGAGAACATAGCTCAACACTGCACACTCCCACAATACACCAGGGCACAGGAAACTGCCTCCACTGCACTCCATCTGCTGAGCAAACTCATCCCTTTCCAATGATCTGTTAGTGTCTTACGACAACTACCTACTCACTGGGGAAAGAGGAGATAAAGACAGGAGGGGAGATGGAAATAGAAGATGGGGGGGATGAAAAGGCGAGAAAAGAAAACCTGCACATGATGAGGTGAACCAAAAGAGAGACACACACACACACACACACACGAGTCCTTTCTGCCTTAATGATCAGGAATGTGTCAATTCGCATATGGCAACCTCTGGAAAAACAAGCATCCCATGATCCTCAGAGCATTGCTCTGAAAGGGACAGAGAGATCCAGAGGAGATGTCTCAGCAAAGCAGGAAAGGACGAGGCACATCAGTTGGAGACACATGCCTCTACTGCCATGCGCTAGGGAGATCGGCCTCCAGAAGGCTGTGAGCCTCCCGTGGAGCAGGCCCCTGTGGAGCCAACAGTCTCTCCCATCACTCTGTCAGGTCCAGGGAGACAGACCTCCACCTGAATCACTGAAACTCTCACTTGAAAAGGGAACAGCAGTAAAAAGGGCACTGCAAAATTTAGATGAGGGTATGAGTTCGTTCGTGAAAGCAATTCACCAAGACAATTTCCTCTTAGGGTGCTTTCACACCTGGCCCGTTGTTTCGGAACCTGGCGCGTTTCCCCCCTTAGCTCGGTTCGTTTGGGCATATGTGAACACGGCAATCGCGCTCTGATCCGCGCCAAAACAATCAGTCCGAGATTGCCTGAACGAGGTGGTCTCAGCTCGATTGAAAACGAACTGTGGAGCGGTTCGGTTGTAGTGAGAAAGCAATCCGATCTAACGGACCAACGAACCAGGCTATATCACAATGTATAATGGGCAATTACGTAAGTTCCGTGAAAAGCATTAGCTTTGTTGTTTTGCAATGAGAGAACAGTTTACTCACGCGTGACTTGTATTAACAAATTTGGTCTGTTTAGAAACATTGCCGTATGAAAGCGAACCGCACCAAGAATAAAAAGCAACATTGTAATAATTTAAATCCCTGTTTCGGAAAAAAAAAAGCAATCGATCTACAGGTGTGAAAGCACCCTTAAGTGCCGTCGTACTAGACCAATAAACTCTGAAAAGGAACAACTACAGTTATCAAGTCTTAGAAGTTTAGTTTGTAAGCTGTGGTATCTAGTTCTCACATTAATGTTGGAGCACCATTACTGTTGAGACCTGACTCACTTCAACATTCTCCAGTGCTCTGAACTGTATCGAGCGTAGCTGCAGCGCTACCCTGGTACGTGATGTTCAAATTCAACAATGGCCATATCTGACCCTTAAAATCAAATCTTATGTGTGTCTTCATACATCATGTTGTACGAAACAATGCTGGAGGAATATCTTGACATTCAGAAAACAAAACGGAGCATGGCAAAAAGTCTTTCATTTGCTTTAATGGACACTTTCCATAATGCTTTTCAAGTGAAAGCCTCTGCAACACTTATCTTGAGAACAGGGCTGGGCAAATCTCAGAATTTACTCCCTTTCCGTTAATGAGTGTGAATTTGAATTGAATTGGCCACAAGTCACAGAAAGTTGAAATGCAATTACAGTAAAAAGAATTGAAATTGCACAGAAATTCAAATTAGGCAAGAACTTGATGTATTAAATATGCTGAAATACATAAACTAAATAAAATTTTCTATAGATGACATTTCAAATATCTATCTGTCCATCCTAAAACATGGGGCTTTTAAACTTTTTTCAAAACTTTCAAACAAGGCTTTTGTCATGCCAACATTTGAAGCTTTTCTAGTTAAAATTACAGTTATTTGAATTTCTTTGAATTAAATTCATTATAATTCCACTTTCTTGTTTTCAGATTAGAACTGCAATTCTGCATCCTGTCTGCTAACTCAATTCAAAAAGCCATTCTCAATTAAATTCTGAACATTGCACACCCCTGGTTCTCAAATCCTCTTCATGTTGACTATATGTTAGACTACCTGTGTTAAACCTGTGTACATCACTTCAAACTCTTGACAGAGAGTGGTAAGGATTCTAGATGATCAACTGAGATGGATATACTCTTCTGTATAGTGCTACAGAGTCATTCACATCAGAGGGCACTAAAAGGAACACTTCCCAGGCCACGGTAAAGTTCAGGTCCAAGATTGGAACTGATCTCTGCAGTGCCCTCTACTGATTAACCCTGCATTAACCCTGGGAAGGTTTCTAAGCAGAGTACAATCTGTAGCCAGTCTTAGCAGAGAGATTTATCTAGTTCAACAAGGATGCAATAGAATCTATGAAATGACAGTTTAGGGCACATGATGAGTGAATAATGTGAAACAGGACACTAGTGAAAGTGAGTGTGTGTGTTTTTGGCTGGGGGGAGCAGTGGCCACTCAGAACACAGGCGGTAAAGAGTGTTTACCTGGCCCTGCGTTCTGTGGGTACGCCATGTAGCCGCTTCTTCCCCGGGTCGCCCTACCTGAGCCTCGTGCCGCCGCCACTGCTGCTGCCGCCACGGGTCCGTACGCAGCCGCTGGGAAACCTGCCGAGAGAAGAAAATGATTTACTAGTGCTCTTCATCGCAATCAAATTTACAGCCACATGAATGCATCAGAGCTTCAAAGAACAACTCTATTCACACTAATGCAACACACACGGGAGAGATGCTACATCATCGTTCAAATAATTACATATAAATCAAAAGAACTCAAATATAATTACTCGTTTAAAGTGATGCTAGCAGGACTGATCTACAGCCTCTCTCGATCTCTTTCCTGGCAACATTTTAATTACAGACAGCACAGGAACACGTTGCCCATGGAAGGACCATCAGCTTTTTCTTTCACATACCGGCTCAGAAAAATGCAACATATTAAAGTTAATTTGCACTTACTTTACACAGCTTCAGAAGCTTTCTCATAATGCTCTAATGCAAGGTGAGCAGCACAGAATTATGGGTATTTATAAAAATGATTACTCCACTGGGAGGACAAATGTACTTGTTTGACTGAATGCCACCAGAGGATACAGAAACCATGTGATTTAACACAGCGCCTGTCTTCCCTCATGTGTTAGTAGAGTTGACGGAGATGCATCAGCGCTCAATCCATCAGTGTGATCATTTGTATGGTGGACATGGAGCGTGAGTGGACAGAGTAGAGCTGAGAGCAGAGGACTGTGGGATTAATTGCTTTCAACAAAGTGCCTATTATCTCATTGAGAAGCATCAGAGGACATGTGGTACTCTTTAAGGTCCATAATGGCAGGTAATAATGAGTGTGTGTGTCCTCGTACAGCTCATCTAAATGTGCTTCTTGGAAGTTTATGAAAAAAAATTAATCAGCCGCTGATGATTTCTACTCAGCTTAATACTGAACAACAAGCCAAACTCTGTTGAATGACATTGTGCTTCACAGAATGCAATTTGTTTGTGGTAAACTGAGACCGCTGAAGAATCTACATATTTAACAAGTCACGAGTTCAGTGTTCAAACATTGTAATCAAACATAATCATCATCATTGTAGAAGCCAACTAAAAAAGCCACCAGGCCAGAGTATCTACGGCTGTATTATTTCATAACAAATGTAATTACAGTCCCGGCACTTTAATGAAGGTGTGAATCTGCGTTTGACAGCTGCTCATCAGAGCAGTAAAGACTTACAAGGGGGTCTAACGCCCATCTACAGCATGTCATTACACCAGACTGTAACTCACAACTCAGAAGGTGGAGTGGCTTAGGAGGTAAAGATTTGAGACGGGCAACCCAATGTTTGTAGGTTAGATGGGGTGATCCCTCAACTATCACCATTATAACCTTAAGCAGGGCATTTAACACTCTGGTTACTCCAGAGGGACTGTTCCTATATTACACTGCAAATCACATCTAACAGCAAAAAATTAACGAAAGGAGGAGGAGGAAAAAAAAAAGATTAGTGTTAGAGATAATTTGCCATATGGCCACTCAATAAAAATGAATAATAAAAGCAAAATTAAATAAATTTTAAAAAATCAAAAATACTTGCCATATGGCTACTCAAAAAAGAAAGAAAAATAAATTTAAATTTAAATAAACATTTTTAAAAATATATTACATTAAAACATTAAAAAAAGAATCAAAATTAATAGAAATTTGAAAATTGAAAAAAAAAAATCATGAAAAAAAGAAAAACTATATAATAATTATTCAAATTAAGAGAAAATTTCCCCATCAATGAAAAATTAAAAACTGAAAAAAGTAAAATATTTGACATATGGCTAACCTTAATAAAAATATAAAAAGTAATTTAATATATAATTTAATATAAATAAATAAAAAACTAATTTAAAAAGATAAAAAGAGAAAACTGACATATGGATAGTCAATTAAAAAAAAAGAAAGAAAGAAAAATAAATGAAAAACACGAAAAATCATGATGTAGGCATGTATATAATAGCTTAGTTTGTGGAGCAAAAAAAAAAAAGGCCATAAAAGAGGTAAAAAGAGTAAAAATAATACAGGACCAGATTAAAGACGGTTATAGATAATACCAAACCTCTGTGGTCTCTCTGGTTTAAATTACGCATGTCATTTCCTGTTTCTTTCCCCAGCTCATTAATCTCTTCACAAAACACAAATCAGTATGCTAATGCTATTGGAGGTCACGCGTCCCTGCCTCTCTTTCGCTCTGCTCGCTGTTGGCGAGCACAAGTGTCCTTCACCAAAGTGTCACAAGTCATTTGTGCTGCTTTTTCCCCCTCGTCTCTTCCTCTGCACAGCATCTTCTGTCCCCCAGCGGTCTCTCTCCCTTCGTCAAAGTTAACGCTGGAACAAAGTTCTTGTGAGAGATTAACTTTGCCGGATTAGGTGGGTTAATTATTAGATCTCGGAGGCTCATTGTTTTGTGTTTCCGCCGTGAAAGGCTGCTTGAGAGAGGCGCTGCAGCATTAAATCAATTTCATGGGCTTTTCATTACGGACGAGATAACGCCAACATTTAGCATTCAGTTTTATGGCGTTATTTGAATCTGCTCCAGCGAATGGGCTGATGGGAGAGAAAAACCCTACTGAGAGGGCACAAGGACACATTGCTCTCCCCTGGGCACCGTAAAACCGCACAAATGGACCCTGAGGGAGCACAGAAGGGGTCTACGACACTGAAAGAGAGAGGAAGAACAGGAGGAAGAAGAAGAGAAAGAAGGAAAGAGAAGGAATTTTGAATGCTATACGAGCCCTGAAGAACACTGACTGCTGCAGATGACAGGTTCACACAGAACACCCTAGAAATCAGCCAGCAATGCCCTAAAAACATTTTTTCTTACAGAAAAATGTACAAATCTATTTCTTACAAGTAAGCACTAGCCTCATTATCATAGATGGTACAGAGAGAGAAAGATGCCCTTTCAGTCTGACTATGCTAGAGCTACCCTGCTTTAGGAACCAGCTGCTGAAAAGAGCCACATGTCCTGAAATTAGGCTATAAATACATCTGATGTAAGCCCACACACACGGTTTGTGTCCTATCAAACAACACGGAGCTGTGAAATGACAAAATCTGCGCCTTCATTTTTCCTTCATTGCCCACTTTGAAAGGAAAATAAAAACAATGAAAGCTACCATAATAAGAGCTGGAAAAGGCAGCAGCCTTGGCTCTCTTTTCATCTGTGCAGCGAGTGACCTGTTGTTGCTGCATATGGAAAAAAATGATATGCTGTTTGTAGTTTTATGAAAGCTTTTCATGCGATATCAAAGGTGGATCTCAGGAGCCTTTGGTACAGGTGGTGTCTATTAGTGCGGTGTTCAAAATATCGATACGACGCGTCACAGAGATTTGACGATACGAGTATCGATACAGCTGGCCCTGTATCGATATTGGATAACCTACCAGCAATGTAAATGATTTTTTAAATATATTAGAATGAGTACATTACAGTGTAAATTTATTAGAACAAGTACATTATTATTTATGGGCTTAAAAACAAGATGCAAACAATCAGAATATTGTACCTGGTGGGGAGTGCACAATGTAAACATGAAACATATGCCATTACCTATATTGTACTGTATTGTACAGTTATGGAGGCCCTTCATAATGCAGAGGTCAACTGCCTGCTCTGCCAATAGTTAGAAATGGCACTATAGTATGCAGTGTTTAATAAACAGCTGTTTTACTAAATTCTGCTGAGGTGAAATTCAGTGCAGTCATGTATCGTGATACGTATCGTGGCATATGTATCGTGATACGTATCGTATCGTGACTTTGCTGGTGATACACAGCCCTAGTGTCAATATGAAGAACACAACATGCATACATATAAACACTTCTTTGCTTCCTACACAACAGTATAAACACCCAGAAAAGCCATTATGAAAGGGTTTTTGTGCACAGGTGTCTAAACTAAGATCAGTTTTCATATGTGAGAGGTTTTGCCCAAAATGAATGAGCTGGATCTTCATTGTGAGTCTTCTGATGTTTGATTAGGGGACAAAAAGTCATTTTGCCAGGCAGATTAAAGGGCTCAATCTTTTTTTAGCTCTTTCATACACCATTAAACTTAACGATGAAGGAGGGAGTAGAAATCTCCAGAAAGATCCCTGGACATCGCAAAACCTTCAAACGTCACCAGCCAGCCATGAGTTTCACCCCACACCATAATGAGAGACAATTTTATGGGCAGGAGGACAGCCGTGATTGCGCAACTCCAAAAAAAGTATACGATCTCATCTTACCGATCTTTCTGTTTTTGAAACAAATGGGCCATGAATCACGTGTGTAAGTGTGTGTGCAATGGAAGGAAGTATTGATGCACCACTCTGAAGCAGATATCATGGAGGTGACATGCATTTCCTATCGCTCATCATAAAACAAAACCATCTCTCTCTGTCTTTCGACAGATCAGGCCCTTGTGCCAGAACACGATCAAGCAGGCCGAAATTTGTTGTCGAAAATAAATCATTCCCTGCCCAGGCACAAAAGAGTCGAAGCGCTTGGCCTGTTTCTAATGGAAATGTTTCCAGAATGATGGTTTCTGCTGACCTTAGGTTAAGATTTTAAATGTGTAACGTATAGCGAAGAAAAAAACAACGTAAGAATTTATGAGAAATATGACAAAAATCCTGGGTGACAGGTGTCAGTGTTGATTCTCTGAGGACTCGAGGAGCTCAGGGTGTCAGCAGGAAGGACTCCGCCCTTTTAACGAGCAGCCTGTCTTGTTAGCTAAAAGCACTTAGCATTAATTAGCAAGGCCACCTCATTATCACCCAAGTAAACACTTCTAATTTGTTATGCATTTTAATGGCCTTCACCAAACACTTAAGAAACATCTTTAGGCATTTAAAAAGACCCCAACAACTCCAGACAGTTAGGAAAGACATCTATCTATCTATCTAGATGATCTATAAATAATTTTTAAATTACATTAAATAAATATATATACACAGTATATGAATTACATTTTGGTGGTAAAGTACTACACTACATGAAAAATGAGAGAAAATCCATATTTCATTCTTTCTTTCATGTGCCATTCAAAAACAGGAAGCATTTTAAAAAGACTCCAAAACAACAACTATAGCCAAAAGATGCACATCTGTAAGTGTGGGAATGCAGGAAACACAAACGCCAGATTCAAAATTCAATGCACATTCGAGATGATACAAAGAAAGAGCATTAAAAAAACAATAGGGGCACAACGGCTCTCCCAAAGTCTCCTTACAAATGGCTGATTTCCATAATGACAGCAGAGAAGGAGAGATCTCTGGGTTTGTCAGTGGCTCATTCATGATCTCACACGGATTCAGACAGTTTTGTGTGAGAGAGAATTCCTAGCTTTACGCTCTGTGTGTGTGTGTCACTGCTGTCCCATTTCAGGGTTCATTTCAAGTTTCAGTACTAAAGAAACAGCAAGAGAAAGACAGATGTTCTTGTAGTTTGATTTTATGGTATGGTGCCGTCACATAAAGATGAGTAACTGTACAAGAGTTTGAGGCTCACCACAGATCAGAGCACAGCGAGAATGTGTGTGTTTATGTGAATGGGACTGTCAGTTTGTGTGTTCTTGTGTGTATGTGTATCTTTTTATGAGTTAACCCTGTTAAATATAATTTATTACTATTCTGAATATAAATATTTGAAGAACTACTAAGCCCTGTGAGAAAGAGAAAATATGGGTCTCATAAACCCTTTTGATGTGTTGCTATCATTAACTAAAACAAAGACAAAAATAGCAAATTATTTTTTTCTTTAAAACTGAGACAAAAATGTTTGCAACAGAACAAATCTACACTGAAACTACAAATGTGCACTACAGTATGAACAAACATGTTGGGGAAAGATCAGCGTCACACCCACAGAAGAAAAACCCATTAGCTCTGCTCATGATATCAGCAGGCAGGTGGCCATCCACAGGACACTCATATCAACAATAATATCTGCCACCAGCTGCAGAAAAATGCGCTCACCTTCACACCTCTAACAAACACACACACACACCTTTCACTGACATGCACACGTGTGCATGTAACGAGCTCCCAAAATGATGCTGAATTACATGACAGTTTGCAGTTTCATAACGAGTGAGGTACACAGATAGACAGACAGACAGACAGACTCACCTGGAAACTGGTAACTGTAGCTAGGAGAAAATCCTGTGTATCCACGACCATACGTTGCCACAATGTTTGGATAACCTACAAACGCACATATAGACAGAAACAACATCAGCCCGGTGGGATAAAATCATGCTTAACCCTTAACCTTGGTCAATCAGGAACTAGTAATTACTAGACATATCTGGATGAGGCTGTGTATATGTAACACTTTCACAAGAGCAGCAGCACTTGAAAAGGAGGATGAATATCACAACAGTATGTTCAAGCACATAAGCACTTTAAATGAAGTGGCAACTACAGTGAATTTCACTGCCATCTGTTTTCTCTGATGCTACTCTGCCGAGTGAAAGAGACAGTGATTCTGATGTGCTATTCTTGGCCTTATTTTCTCATGTTTTCTCTTTGAAATTTACATGCTGTATTAATTTCATGTTTTTCCCAAAACAAGAACGTGAAACAGCAGTCACCACTGCTCAGTAATAAATCACGACACACAGATTTCAGAAAAATCACTCAGAACACCTTCGTGCAGAGCTGGCATATGTGCACTTAAGATTTCCCAAACCTGTCATGAGTCACTCAATATCAGTTGACAGCAATGAAAACACTTTTGACAGCTCTCACAGAATACACTGCCTAAAAAAAGGTTCTTCCAGGGAGGATGTGCTCACACAAGTTTGTGTGTGATGTGTCTAAACAAAAGTTGTATTCTTGAAGAGAAAACTGAGATGAGAATCATCAGAAGAAAACAGTTGAGAAGAGACAAAATGAGATGAGACAAATGAAAATAGACAAGAAAAGATTAGAAGAGACCAAAAGAGAAAAGATGAGAGATGAGAACATAAGATATGAGAAAAGAGAGGACAAGACCAGAAGAAAAGAGGCAAGATAAGATTCAATGAGATGCAAGATGAAGAAAAAAAACATGAGAAAAATTAGAACAAAAAGAAGGTGAAGAAATTAGACAAGAACAAAATAAAACAGAAGAAATTAGACAAGAAAGTAATAAAAAGAAACAGCAGAATGAGATGAGATGAGACAAGAACTGAAGAGAAAAGATATAAAGAGAACAAATCTGAACTTATTTAAAAGTTAAGCCAAGAAAACAGAAGAGACAAAATGAGAAGAAAAGAATAGACAAGAAGAGGAAAAAAAATTAGAATAGAAAGTTGAGATGAGAAGAAATTAAACAAGATGAGAAGAGAACAGAAGATATCAGAAAGACCAAAATAGAAGAGATTAGACTGGAATCGAACAGAAGACATGAGACCAGATGAGAAGAGACAAGACAAGACCAGAAGAGAAGAAGCAAGCCCAGAAAAAAAAATAGATCAGGCAAGACAAAAACGAGGGAAAAAATAATAATTATGAGAAAAGGGGAAGTTGAGATGAGAAAGAAACAAAACAGCTTATTTTGACGAGAAATTATAGGAGAATATAAGAGAAGAAATGAGAAAAAAGTAGAGTAGTAAATGAGACTAGATGAGAAAAAAAAACAAGAGAACAGAAGAGACTAAATGAAAAAAAAAAACAGATGAGACTAGAAGAGAAAATAATGAAACCGGATGAGAGGCTGGTATAAGCTGAGCTGAGCTAACTGTCTATCTCAGTGCATTGTGGGTAAAAAGGCTGGGTCCTCCCCTGGCAGCTGCTATCTCAGGCACTGATTTGCATTATTAATGTTCAAGCTAATATACCTATTTTATGGCTCAACAGCTCAGATTCACTTTAAAATCAATTATACATCTGCAGCAGCTGAAGCAGGCAGCAGCTCAAATGTGTATTAATCTCAGCAAACATACATGCGGCGCCCGACTATAAAGATAAATGACACGATTAGCTGCAGTAAACAAAAGCATGAATGCAGCAGCTTTAATGAGATTTGGCGTATAAGAAACTTACAGTTCCTTAAATAATGAGCCCTGATCTGCAGCTTTTTTTTCATATGCAAATTGTACCAAGTTCTGTCTGGTCGTCCTGTTCACTCCAGTTTCATTTAGATAAGACCAGAGTTAATATTTTCACATGAGTGCTTCACGCTCTCGTTCTCTCTCTCTCTCCCATTCCTCCTCTCTTCACCCTCCTCCACAGCAGTAATCCATGAGAACTTCTAGAAAGTTCACGCCTTGTTAAAAGTTGACTATAAGGGATGCATGTATCTCCTTATTTCAGTTTATATTTTACAAAATAAATAAATAAATATATTATATATATTATATACATATATGTATACACATACATACATACCTGTATATATATATATATATATATATATATTATATACACACACACACTCAATATGGTAACATTTAAATAATTATATAATGTAATATTTTTAAATATCATTAATCAAAGTTATTTGAAGCTTATACTGTATATTATAGAAGTCTATACATTATCTGCGTAATGTAAGTTGAGTGTAATGAATCTGTTTATCACCTTATTTCAGTTCAAATATAAAAATAAAAAAATCTAAAATTAAAAACAATATGATCAAATCAAATGAAATATTACATAATTTAATATAGTTATCAAAGTTATCTGAAACATTATCAAAACATTTTTGAACTTTACCCTTTGGGTAGCTATAACGGGTTCATTTAGAAAAGAGACATGTCCAAATACACCCAAAAGCCTATAAATCCCAAACGATTACACAAAACTTGCGACAGGTGATTCTAAACAAACATGGAACATTTTATGTAGATTGGACCATAGGTGGCGCTATAACAGTTAAAAAAAAGCTTAAAAACACTATATTTCTATGGTAAATGACATCAATTAGCAGAAAATGTTAATATATTCACGCACACACTAGATCTTTACATCGTACGATCAATCTCCTCATTCTGAACAAATTTGCCTGTAGGACCACTGCTGTCAATCAAATTGTTCTTTAAATATTTGACATTATTTAAAAAACCTACTTTTGCAAACTCCTCCAATCAGACCATAGGTGGCACTATAACAGTCAAAAACATTAAAAATCATCATATTTCTAAGGTAAATCATCTGGATTTGCCAAAAATGCTTTTTTAATCATTAATTTAGGTGTTTACATGCTTGCTAAATAATACGTAATATCTTTTTTCATATGTGCTAGAACCCGATAATAGCACCTTGCAGCTATATTTATTATATATCTGTGTTATGAATGAATAACAGTACTGATCTTGGCAGCAGGTTTGTCTCCCATAGCCGATGTGTTCTTCTAGTTTAGTGCCACTGTCATTAGCAAGGGCAGAGGTCAGGCAGATGGCTGCACTGAATAAGGCACATTAACCTAATTTTCCTCTTCATTTGAGCCATTAATACCAACGTTTTTCTGCTCGTCAGGTCTGAGGGATCCAATAGCACCTGAGCTGAACTAACCAGACACGTTCACAGACACACCTTTATCTATTGTCTAGCAGCCAATCAGAATTCATCAACTTAAGCCCCGCCCATGAGCTACCCCTCAGTGAATCAGTGTGTGTGTGTGTTCATGTGAGACTCACTCAACATGCCCATGCCCAGCATGAAAGCATCCATGGTGTACGGAAGACTTCTCGCCCTCCCCCTCGTGCCTGGAGGAAACATCACCTCTTTTGGTTGGGCTTTCTTACATTCTACCTGTGGACAGACAGACACAGAAGGAAACACAAAGAGAAGAGCTAAGTGACAAAATTGTTGCTGGTTTTAACATGTCACTAAATTTGCAATATGATAAAACTAAGCAGCACATGCAAAGTCTAGGGCCCTATGAAAGCTTTTTATTGTTTTCCAAATCCTGTGTTTTATTTTTTTATTTTTTCTGGATTCCATTTGAATGGTTTAATACAATTTTAATAATCAAAAACATGTCTAACAAATTTAATTCATAATACTTACCATCTTGAGGAAAAGTTGAAATCATAGGCTCCTAATAGTCCAAGTTTAAGTAGATGGAACTATTTTTTATCAACAATTTCCTTTTTTTTTTTTTGCACTAAGCTTGTCACACTTCATTCTATGATTGCCTTATGATGATTGAAGTTGGCCAACACAAAATGTTAAACAAGGCAGCATAATTACGCATCTCTCAAAAAACATGTTAAGAACACATTTAAAAAAATTTTTAATTACATTCTCCATGAATTCAAAGCAGTACAGAAAATACCACCATGATGACAAAACACTTCACAATTTGCAAGGATGCAAGGATGGAATAAATTGGGATTATTTTGAACTTTCTCCTCATGAAGCAATAAAACTGTTTACAACAAATAATAAGAAATGTTTCTTGAGCACTACATCAGTATATTACAATAATTTCTGAAGGATCACATGACACTGAAGACTGGAGTAATGGCTGCTGAAAATTCAGCTTTTACATCACAGGAATAAGTTATATTTTAAATATCTTAAGAGTTATTTTAAATTGCAATAATATTTCAGAATATTACTGTTTTATTGTATTTTTGATCAAATAAATTCAGCATTTGTTGAGCTTGGATGAGACTTTTTAAAGATATTCATTAAAAAAAATATAGAGAGCTTCATTTTGTATATGCTAAATAAAATGTATAATTTTTTTCTTTTGGTTTTTGGATGAAATATAGATTGTCTTGTTCATGTTCTTGACAGGTATCATGAACTTCGCCCACCCATTATTTGGAAGAGTCACTGGACCGTAAATATGATGCCTAAAATTAGGAATGTTTTTGAACAGACCTTGAGTCATATCTCAAGCTATGTCAGTTAGATTTTTGTGCACATTATTGGCATAACAAACAGCGATACATTTGTGTATCCAAAGCATTTTTCAGACAAAAAACTAATGCAAAAATAAACTAAAAGTCTCTCTGTCTTTCTGATTCCACCTGTGATCTCCCCAGCACCCCCTTCCCTCATCCTCACGTTCTCACTCTCTGATTGACATTTTAACCTATGGAGCTGAGCACATGAGCGGACAGCAGACAGCAGTCCCTGCCTGAGAGACAGAGGAATATTCCTCCAGAGAGCTAGGAGAGGGAAGACAACATGTCTCTAGCAAAGGGGAGAAATAAACAAACACACACGCAGAAAACATCAAACCCAAACAAACACACAGACATTCGCTCTCTATGGTGATATAAGCATAACCGGGTCAGACGAGTAAAGACTTTCCTCCTGACAGGCCTAGCAGGCAAAGGATCCTATTTACCAAGCACATCTGCATACTTACAGGAGTGTGAGAGTATGTGCGCTGACAGCGCCTCTACAGTAAGAACACGATGCATTTGCACTTGGCTGAATCTGTCCTCTGCATTGATCGACTCGTCTGCCTGCCCAGGGCCCGTCCATCTGTGTGTGAGTGTGTGCGCTGCTCGGCCCTTCACCACACACACACACACTGCAGATCATCTCCCACTGAGACTCACGCAGATGCTGCACGGCACAGCTGGACACACACACACACGGACGGACGGTTCTGCTGAAGTTCAACTTTGCTCTGAATACATGAGATATTTCTGGATTTGGCCAGTTACGGATATTTAATATTCATTCTAAATTAATGAAATCTAAAAAGGTTTGGTTCACACTCTGAGCCCTGAGGATGCAGCGTGGGAGATATTATAACATGTAAATGTATTATAATTACTACAGAAGGAGGTGATAAGGCCGGGACACACCAAGCCAACTTCAAAGAACTAGCGGCGACGAAAGCCGATGGTGTTGTCGCCTCACATCGGCAGTGTCGGACCAAAAAGCTGCGCTCGAACACACCGCACAGACTACAGCCGACGGCAAACTAACATGTGCGTTCTGCGCATGCGTGAGAGGAATTAACGGTCTATATCAGCAGCTATCAATAGTATATATTCGTCATTCAAAAGGAGAAACCGAAACAGATATACGAGATAAACGCAGATATACGAAACATAAACAAAGCAGCGCATGCTTACCATTTTGAATATCAGTAACGTTGATAACTTTAACAATTTTAAGCAGCTCATGTTGTTATGAAAACATTCGCGTATTAGAATGATTGGGAAAGATCACGTAACATTTAAACAGCCTTCTGTCTGTACCGCCTTCATTTACGTGATTGTTTTCATCACTTTCGCTTTAATTCTCGGGCACTTGACTCGTTCGCTAAACTGAACATCCAATCAGAGCTCTCACTCGCGCCGACAGTCCCGACGCCGATTCAACATGTTGAATCGGGCAAACTGCCGCCGACGTGAGCCCTACGAGAGCCGACGAGTGGAACACACCAAACAAACTAGCCTGACCGTTGCTCGCCGTCGGACCTACATTGGCCAACGCGTGCAAAATCGTCACAGTACTTTAGTACTGTACATTTAGTTCTGGAACTAAAGCGGTGCGAAAGGCCCTATAGAGCTTGGAATAGCCAGGACAATTTTTAATATAACTCCGACTGGATTCGTCTGAAAGAAGAAAGTCATATACACCTAGGATGCCTCGGGGGTGAGTAAAACACAGCCTAATTTTCATTTTTGGGTGAACTAACCCTTTAATTCAAGAGCTGAGAGAGATGTGTTCGTAGACGGGTGTTTTGGACAACCTGTTGTACAGCATGTCCATAATAAAAGGTCTAATTCTGGACCGCAAACACTCATCTAGACAGACATCATCTAGGAGATAAACATCACGGGCCATTATCTGCTCACACACAGGCACTGCTGCTGTCTGAAAAGGGTTTCTCAAACTCATTTTAACTCAAGGACCTCCTTCATAAGCCCAAACTTCATACCCTAAAACGAAGACTTATAGGTGGCTTCAAAAAAAAATCTCCTCAAATATTTCTTCAGCTTCTTCCGCTACATACTGTATATTAAACAGGCAGTATGATATCAGTAAGCCGTTTCATTACTACAACCATCTATGCACACACACTTGTTTTCAGCAGTCTCATCAATCCACTACTGCTTTTTTAAAGTGTGTGTGAGGGAGAGAAAGATGACCATTCAAAATAATCATCCAAACTTTTTAGGATATCAATTCATTTTCAACATGGTTTGGCATATATTCAGTGTGGGTGCTAATCAAAAAATAGTGATGAAACCAAAATTTTTATTTTTTTTTATTTAGCCAAAAGCCAGACTGAAAATAATGTTTTTTAAAATCAATAAATTAATCAATTACATTTATTTTATAATCAACAATAATAAAAACTGCATATAAACATTTAAATTGCACATAAGGCAGTTTTTATTTCAACTTTTTAATTTTATAATTATGTTTCTACTGAATTATAAACATTTAGATGGTGGCTGTAATTATAGGCGAAGCACTAAAGGTGTATATTTACTTCTTGTAGCTCAAAACGCGCCACTGTATTTTTGGTTTTGAATGAATATTATCACTACAAAAAAACAAAAAAAAAATAAAATAAAAATAAATCCACCAGTCAAGAATCAGACACATAATGCCTCAGAATCACACATTTAAGAACAAAGTGAGGGAAAAGAAAGCATTTGTCCTCAAAGAAGTGAAATATGCTCCTCTCTGTGCTGTAATTGGTCAGCAGCTACCTGAACAAAATAGATAAGTCAGATAAAATTTTTGCCTTATTTTCCACTATAAAAAAAGATAAAAAATTACACACGTTGGGTAATAAAATCTACAAGCACTTCTGTCAAACCAGTATGAGTCCATTTATATGCACTACTGGTTCCTTTGATCTACTGAAATAGAAGTAGCACAGTGGAGTTGTTCAGTTTTCTGAAGTTTACCAGTTTTCTGTGTGGTGCTCTATTATTGCCAAATCAAATTTCAGATTTACCTGCCCCTAATGGCCAGTTCACATAAGGCATGATAACTATAATGATAACTAAGTTTTAATATTCATTGTAATTCTACAAGAATAGGGACATCCACACCACAACTATAATAATAACGACACAGAGGAACGATATCATTGGAATCACTTTCAGAACAAATTTCTTCCAGCTGAACCATAAAAACATTGACAGCCAATCAGAATTGGTCCTGCTTTAAAGAGCTCGTGCATTTAAAGCGGCAGGCAAAATAACTCAGCTAAAACTTATAATAAACAGAGCATTATCATGTGATGATATGGACGCTAATATAGTTATCATAATCTTTATAGTTATGGTTATAGTTATAGTTATGTGAACGGACCTGAAATGTCTTATCAGACTCGACAATCTCCAAAACAAGTATAATTTGGCTGCTGTTGGCTGGCATGTCAGAAAGTTATGGACTGCAGGAAAGAGAGAAGAAACTCCTAATGTCCTGAAAAGAGACAGCAGGACTAATCACTTAAAAAGCAGGTGAATTGATGGAAAAACCTCATCTTGTTCACCCCTTCCTCTCTCTTTCTGAGATCTCTCTGTCTGTGTGTTGTAAATGGACACCCAGTGCGATGTTCAGCCAGGCAAAAAGGTTCACCACCACATGGTGTGTGTGCTGTGGTAGACACGAGGTTTCGCTGGATCAGGGAGAAGTTCACATCTCTTGTTCTCTTCAACAGGCTGTAAATAACATCTAGTTATTAGAAAGTAAATCTGAACAGGAAGCTTGAATGACTGTGGTGGTACAGTTTTCCAATAAATTAATAACAATAATAATAGAAAATGTAGGCATCACAACACAACAGATATTCATTTAAAAAGAATACATTTAACAGTACTATTAAATTAGTGTTGTAAAAGATTAAATTAAAGGCACAATATGCTTGCTTATTTCTCTGGATTTAAACATTCTTCGAAACATTTGGGATAATGTAAGTACACAAGTCAGCAAAATATATAACACTGTTCTAGTGGTTTTTGGATATTTTAATAACAAAAGCTTACATATTGTGCCTTTAAAGGTATTCTAAATGTAAAAATGGGAAATGAGCATGCACAATAAAATATCCAATATCTTGTGATAATCAATCAGTTTAAAAAATCGTGTCCAATATGATACTGATATATTGTGCATCCCTACAAATAGTATAAAACAAAAAGTAATTATTTGTTTATAACCAAGTTAATATTCACAAACAATGGCTTTGCCATTTCATAACATCACAACTAGTCTATGTGTGTGATTATAAATATGTGCCAAACTAAAGAGACTGATATTTTTTTATCCTAGTTTTGAAATGACTCAAACCGTTATATAAGATTTTGATCATTTGATCATACCGCTCACCTTATGGCAGTGTATTCTGGTTCAGACCAAAAAATCAAACCAAGTGTGAAAACTGCCTCAATCTCATGTGTAGCTCCACTGGTCAGCAAAAGTGCAAAGCTAGAAAGCAATCAGGTCTCATAATTTCCCATAAACAAACAGCCTATTCTACCATTACAATTATTTACCGTATATCAATGGTCTGCGCCGTTCTTATAAAGTGACAGTGAATGGATGGCAGGAGAGATAATCAGAACAGAAATGAGAGGTTGTGCAGCCTTTTGAACAACAGAACCACATGATGGACTATCACAGAAAAATCGATTGCATGGCTCCGCGCTCACGGATTTGTCTCTGGGCTCAGGAACAACCTGTCTGTGATGGAAAAAGATCTTGAGGGGTTTGATCCTCTGCTCGTGATATTCTGTGCTACCCCTCGTCTGTCCCATGAGCCTAGGGTATATGCATAGACAGCGTGCAGGGACGAGTATCAGTGTGAGAGAGATCCTCAGAGGAGACCCCATCCAAACCAATGCTTTCCACCACACCGCTCCTGTCAACCACAGCAGAGAGCCCAGCAGGGGCAGTTTCTCTAAATGTAAAACATCCTCCCATCAACTCATGCTTCTGCTAAGGCAGGCATATATTTGTACAAACCATTCTTCTCACATGATCCTTCAGAAATCATTCTAAAATGCTGATTTGCTGCTCAATCTGCAGTAGTGCTGCTTAATATTTAAGTGGAAACAGTGATGAACTTTTTTTCAGGATTGTTTGATGAATAGAAAATTACAAAACAGCATTTATTTAAAACAGAAACCTTTTAGAATATTATATGCATTTACTGTCCCCTCAGTCCTTGCTGAATAATTCAATTAAATTCAATTCAAGTTTATTTGTATAGCGCTTTTTACGATACAAATCGTTGCAAAGCAACTTTACAGAAAATTAAGTTTCTACAATATTTAGTAGTAGCTTATCAGTGGTGACTGTCAGTTTATGTACAAGAATTAATTTATTATTTATGAATAAAATAATAAATATTACTGACCTCAAAGTTTTGAACGGTAGTATATTTACAATAATTATAAAATATAAAACATATTTGAACAATCATTTTGAGTTTAATAATAGATAATAATAAATTATTTAATAATAATGTATTGTTTAATAATAAACCATATTACAAAAGTTCAAATAGCTTCACATAGCCAGGACTACTGTGTCCAAAAATTGCCCATCTAGACAGGAAGGCTCTGTCCTAAAATGTCATTTTCTGTGATATTTAAGGTGGGTAAATGTAAAACTCTTTATAGGAGTATATAAAAATACTGGCTATTTAGAGGTTTTTTTTTTTTTTTTTTAAATGCTTGAATCTCTTTCAAATTTGAACCTGACAAACCTGACATGAACCTGGCAAACTTTGACAACAGTGACTATGCAACACACATCAGACGTTGCATATACAGTCTGTGGTTGGCCCATATGAGGCTAAGACTAGGTCTTTCTAATTTCAAGGGAAAACATTTATTTGCAAGCTGAAAGCTAACACTGGCAGCCCATCTGCTGGTTCTGCCCAATACTGGGGGGCCTGTGGGGTGATAATCCTGATTTAATGAACTCAACGTGTGCCAGTTACCTTTCATCGTCTCTCTCTTTTTAGCCCCGTAAGTCATGATGCAGGCATTTATAAATGAAGGGGAGAGGGGAAAGTTTCTGACTCTTGTTGACTGATCAAAATGTTTTCACACACAATTTCACGCTTTCTGGCCACTGCCCAACACTTTACACACTCACAGTGCTTACAACGGCATGCTGTTAGGATTGTGCTAAATGGGAAATAAAATATTAATCCCTCAATCACCTTCAGAAATTGAAAACGGGCAAACTTACCATTTTATTATTGATTTCGTGAAAATGAATTTCACAGACTTTCTCTACAATGTCTTCATTCTCAAACGTTACGAAGCCGAAGCCTGTGGAAAGAGAGACAGAAACAGAGGAAGAGTCAGTCGTGTGCCTTTTGAACTCAAACTACGACAGATTTCGGCCTCCGTCAGAGGAGAGAGCGTGGGGAGTTCAGATCTGAACGGACATTGTCTTTTTGAAAGCCGCTGATGAAATCTCTCTCACGATTGGGCAGACAAGGGGGAAATCGGACAGCAGAAAAGCACAAAGACTGTTAATGAGATTCATAGAGCCACATCTGAATTTCATTAAATGTGTTCTGCGGTGCCTTCATTGAAATTTCACCGTATAACAAGCTCCCGTTTTAATGTAAATGCGGGGCTGGAGATCCCTGAATCTGTCTCTGACCGTGGGATTGTCTTCTTTTTTCATATTTATGAAATAAGAAGTTTAACCCTTTCAGTTCATCCAGGCTTAACAAGGATTTGTCTGTGCTTTTATTATAATGAGAGAAAGAGTAATGCTTTTCTCTGCCGCCGAATCTGCGACTCACTAGGGGAAATTATTTTCTATTCCTAGGTGTTAAGAGGAGGCCAACGGTGAGAACACAAAGGAAAACAACCAGAGAGGACGATAAACACTTTACTCACTGTTTGTTTATAAAGACAGGATGCTCTTTCAGTCGCACAACACACACAAACACCATTCTGATAATTTCACAAGAGCTGTGTGCTGGAGAGACTCGCAGAAAAGTGGAGGATCGATTGATTGAGAGACTGCATAAAGTGTGTTCAGATGCTGCTAATGGCTGGTGTTTGTGTATTTGTGTAGTCTAGCAGAGATCAGGCAGACCTTTAATGAGTCATGTGCTTTCTACATACTGTACACACTCACACCTACACAACTGTTAACATTATGAATGCTATTTCTAAACTGACTGATGAGGAGGGGGAAAAGCCCAAATGACTACACATAAAAATGCTGAATGAAAGTTAAATAATAAATACTTTTTATTTTTTTTAAATCCAATTACTCTATAGAAATGTTTAAAAAAATGTCAATGTTTTTCCTAAAATTCATTAAATGAAATGTTACTGAGCAATACATTAAATATGATGTGCTATGAAAAGTATCCTCTGAGCAATAAAATGTTTTTTAGTTTCTGAGAAACAGAGCTGTTTTGTATGTCCTGCACATAGAGAAGGAAACAACCGCAAAAGTCTTGCCTTCCACACGCGAAAACTACTGGAGTCATTTTTCAAAGGCAGTGCTGTATTTTGTCCTGACCCTAATTCTTATCTCCACCTTTTAAAAGATGAAAGATCTACGCAGGGCTATTCTGTCCTCCAGCGGTCAGCTGGGCGTCAGAATAAAAGCGTGAGGTCAAAGGTCAAGCACAGCAGACTGTAGCAGCATGTGGATGCTCCAGTGATATGAGGAGATAACAGACCATATGGCACAAACACACATTACTCTGAGAGAAAGAGAGGACACACTCATAACACAGCACTGTACAGTGTTTGATGATCATTCACAGTCCATTTAATATGCAAAGAGGTTAGCCAAATATAGCAGACCTCATTTGCAAACATAAGTGGCAAGTTGTATTCACATTGACAATGATCACTTGAAGTCGTACTGTTGGTTGCACTGCAGTATGCAGCTTTAAAGGAAACAGATCATACACGTCATTGCTCATTTGCATAAAGTTTAACTTTCGCTCATGTCACTTCAAATCTCCAAAGGTCACAGAAAATGCAAATTGCTTTTGGTCTGAACATCTATCTCTCTGTTCTTTCTCTGCTCTTGTAGAAGCAGCTTTTGCCACTTTGCAAATATTGAGAGCAGAAGTGTATGTGTGTGTGTTTGTTGCCTGGAGGGTGATCTTGAAAACGCAGAAGAAAAGACCGCCGACAAATCAGCCATCAGGAACCATTTGTCACGGCAGATTTCAGACGGAGAATCACACATACACCTGCGCTCTCTAGAGAACTCTTACGTCACGGTGTGACCACAACACCCAGGTGCTGCTAAATCTGGACAAGCTCCCGGGCTTCAAGGCATCATGTGATTCCATCAGGAGTCTGAAGGGGGCAGTGCTGTGATAACTGAGTCTCCGGCTCTGGGACAGTCTGACCTCTGTGTTAACAAAACGCCCACTCGCTTTCGTACATCCACGATCACGCACACACACCACAGAGAGTCGTCCAAGTCTCAGCACACCCTGAAGAGCCAACACTTTAGAGAAGAAACATATGCTCATCTCAGCTGAGTGTGGCATCCGCTCAGTTCCCTGGTGTGGCGGCTCCCAGAGCTTCATTCGGTCAGACAGATGTGAGAGAATCTGGAAAAGAATTGAGGCTGATGTCTCTGTTTTACTTAATGATGATGCAAACTCATCCTGCTACGGAACGAAACAAGACAAGTCTCTCTGGTGTCAAACATGCAGACACTAGTCTCAGCTTCAGATTTGGACTGTCTGATGCATTTTGTGCACAAAAAACTGTTTAAAAACTAATTGGCTGGCTTTATTTCAAGGAGTAAGGTGCACAGGTTTTCACTGGTCTACTGGAAAAACAAAACTGTGTGTACATGGCTGCTACAAGGGCCTCCAACACCAAATATTATTAAAATATCAAGAGTGTTGATGTGCACAAAAGCAAGTAAACAGGGCATCCCTAAGCTAAATTGAGTTTATAAAATAATTCTCACTTTAGAAAGGAAATTGTGACCTCATGTCTACAAGCATTTTCCAATAATGTCTTTGCCGTTGTTTATAGATATTTATGATATATAACCTTCATGATTATTTGGTGATATACATTTTTTTAAATTTACTGTAGCAGACAGTAATGGATTTACATTAGCCAGTATCAGATATATAATTATTCATACTCATTTCAATTTTCATTTCAATGTTAATTTATCCTTATATATATATATATACAGTGGGTACGGAAAGTATTCAGACCCCCTTAAATTTTTCACTCTTTGTTATATTGCAGCCATTTGCTAAAATCATTTAAGTTAATTTTTTTTCTGTGTGTGTATATATATATATCCACACACATACACATAAGTATATACATGCATACATGCACAAAATGCATCATACGCACAAAATGCATCATACACACAAAATAAACACTGGTGCATTTCACCCAATTTTACTTTTAGATTACCTTTGCCAACTCAAAACAACAAACACAACAAAAAAAATAAAAATAATTTACAATAATAACAAAACACTAATAATTTAATAACACATTATCTTTAGCAAATTGTATACTGTACATTATATGTTGTGATGCCTAGATTCATTTGTAGCATATACAATGACATTATTAGTTGATATTAGTTTTTATTGTATTATTTTTGGACAAATTGTATAGTATTGTAATATCTGTGATTCACACATAATTAATTAGCAATGTACCGGTATCAGACATGCCTCCTGAAACAACAGAGTAGTTTAACTGCTATAAATTAATCTCTGACTGTGGTCATTTTGGCTTAAGTAGCTCTCCTTACAGGACAGAGGACACGGCCCACCACATGTTTCCAACAGGATGCTAATGATTTCTCCCCATGCAGTGTAATATAAGACGGATCGTCCTGTGTGTGTAATGGATCTCCATACCTCCATACCAGTGTTTATTAGATTTCTCTCCCCCATCTGACTATACTTAAATTAAACTCCTGCTATTAGCCGTGTCGAGTGTGTGTTTTTGAGCTTCACTCTGATGTGCTTCAACAGATGTCAGCTTTTTCATATCTTAATGAGCACACTGACCAACTTATGTGTGTTTCCGTAAATGTGCTTGGGGGGCTGTTTAGCATTTAGCTCAATTTAAAAATCCCCAGATGAGGGAGAGAGAGAGAGTCAACGTTTTCAAATGGAGTCTGACAGCGCATGAACTTTAACTGCTGCCACTTTCCCTCTGCCTCATCTTATGCGAGCAAATTATGGTCTTCTAGAACTTTCTCTCTGATGTGCTCTACTTTAAATACGTCTAACCGCCGCCAGCACAATCTGCTTTTATGCAAAGATCACTTAATGTCTCATTGATTTCACATTTTAATGGATTTAGCGCTGTGTGGCGAGGAGGAAACCTGGTAACCCGCGAAAGAAAGATGAACGTGGGCTGATTACTCTCGGATAGCAAGTGTGAGATGCATTTTTGTCAGAGCAGCGCTCTGAAAACGGCTGCTAACAACTCTTACCACCTGCGCCAGTGGACACAGAGTGCTGGAGTCAAAGCAGATTGTCTAAGGTGAAGAGAAAGTTGTGAAGGGAAAGAGAGAGAGAGGTGTTGATTGTCCTCAGAGCCACAGGGACGCTGTTGGTCTTAATAACCGTGGATGGCTGGTGCTTTAGCCATCTGCTGTGCTGAAGAGGCTCTGGGGGGTGAGCGCAGCAGGAATCATGGAGGTCATACTGCAGGACTGAGGGGTCAACAGCACTGAGGACAGAGCAGAACTGGTGTTGGGTTTCGTTTCGAACCACACACACTAATGCAAGAGGACATTTGAGATACTGTATGCATAGTTTTATAAAGCCAGACTCAGTGGACCAAGTCTGGTCCACTTTGCAGCTCCTTCTGACCAAGAACCATATGTAAAATGACAGACTGCTGTTTGTTATTAAAAATTGTCTAAATAAATAAAAAATGAAACAATTAATTTAAATGCTAAGAGTGAATTTAAACATCACAACATTATAATGTCAAGTATTCAACCTTTTGGTCCAGTCCTTGAATATGATTAGGGCTGGGTATCGAGTTCGATACTTTTTAGGCACCGACCGAATTGCCTCGATACCATCGAGTATCGAAAAACGTCTTGTCGTTCGGTACCAAATTTCGATACCCATTAGACTGCATTAATAACTGCGTAAGCCAGCATATCAATGGTTCAAGCCTCTGTTATCAGCTCTAAAATGACGTTTTGGAATTTGCAACGGAAGGTTTGGGATGAGGTGCGTAAAAAAATTAGTTCAACCCACACGAGATTTCAGGACGGAAACATGTCAAATGCACTACCGGAGGTGGTTATGTGGCCACGACTA